ACTTTCCTTCCCAGACTCAAGACCACTCCTTAGTTCTCTATTACCTACATCTAGAAAGTAGAACACAGTGCTCTTCAAGGAGAAAACCTACTTGCCCTTCCTGTCAAATTTTGAGCCGCATCTGTGGCCAGGCTAATCCTGGCTGTCCCGCAGTGCTTTCTCCTCCTTCCCACTCAGAAGTCACCAGAGTTCAGAGCCCTGAAGGAAGCTCTGTGTCTGTGGAAGAAAATGCACTGCGATCTCCTTTGTTGACCTGACTTTCACCCTTCCCCTCCAGCATTCCAAGCTCCCACTCACATCAACAAGCTGCATTTTTAAAAGCTGGTTGGGATTATGAAAGCTGAAGGTTGTTAGGCGAGCTCAAGGATAGGGCCAAAGCTGAGTCTGACAGCTTATTTCACTCCCTGCACTGGGGCAGTCAAGGCCCTGGGGAGTGTCGACGCAAGGCTAGGGTTTTCTAGTAGCCTTGGACTGTGGGCCTTACCCTAGGGAAGGGATTCGGAGCTTCAGACAAGTCATCAGATCAGAGAAAACAGGTATGTTGACCTGTCACAACTCTACCCTTAGAGTTGGTTACCTTCTCTTCTATCTTCTTTACATTATAGAACCCCCATTTCTAAGGTGTGGCAACATGCTCATGAAAGATAGAACCCTTCCCCCGGCCTGAGAGAATGAAACATAATTGGCTTAGGCCAAACAGGGCAATCTCAGTCCCCTTTCCCCGTGATTGACTTGGGAGTGGGCATGTGACCCAATTCTGACCAAGGAGACTAAAGGGGCAATCTACTGATGGATTCTTCCCAAAAGATGTGTGTTTTCTGCTACAAAAGGTAATAGAAAATTCCTTCTGGCCTAACTTGAATATAATTGCATGGAAACATGACACTTGGAGCTACGGCAACCATTTTGTGATCATGAGAAAACAAGCCAAAGGGTACAGGATAAAAGTGAAGAGATGGAACATGGGGCTTTAGATAGTATCATTAAACCGTTGAACCAATTTGGAAACAGTGCCTTCTAGACTTTTCTAATCTGTGAGGTGATTAAAATTTTCTATTGTTTTAGCCATGATTTCTTTTCTGCTACTTTATTTGCAACCAAACACATCTTATCTGGTATAAACACCATCCAACTCACGTTGCAATTTTTATATTTCCTACCTGTGGATTCTGTCTCTCATTTTTGTCTTTTTAACATTGACTATGATCCTGGCCCTTGGTAAGGGTCAATGAATGTTTGTTGAAAAAGTGTTTAGGTGATAAAAACATCTGAAGTGTGTGTGTGTGCACGTGCACATGTGCACGCTCGCACGCACACACAATGGAATATTGCACAGCCATAAAAAATGAGATCTTGCCATTTGTGACAGCATGCATGGACCTAGAGCGTATTATGCTAAGTGAGGTAAGTCAGACAGAAAGGCAAATATCATATGATTTCATACATATGTGGAATCTAACTAATAAAATAAACAAAAAGCAGAAGCAGACCCATAAATGCAGAGAATAAACTGATGGGTCGCCAGAGGGGAGTGGGAGACACAGGTTTCCAGTTATGGGATGTGTACGTCATGGGGATGAAGGGCAGAGCACAGGGAATAAAATCAGTGGTATTATAATTGGGTTTTATGGTGACAGATGGCAGCTACACTTGTGGGGAGCACAGCATGAGACATACATGTTGTACGCCTGAGACTAATGTAAAACTTCCAGAGTTGGTGAAGTATGAGGTTTAGGATTCAATTTTAGGTTTAATAAAATTCTTGCTTCCCTCCCTGCCAGGGACTCCTTCATCTCTGTCTGATCCTTCGCTGGAGCCAGAGAATGGTTGAGAACTATGAACTATGGTATTGTGGCTAGTAGTGAAAACTATTTCCTGAGAATTCTCAGCAGTTCCCTTCAGCCACGTTTAGATTGGTTCTGGGGTGATCAAGTTTCCTGAACTTGAATCAGTGTACATCATCAATGGAGCTTTTAAACTGGCATTGTCCTAGAAAATGTAGGACATCTGCTTTATACATTTGGCAAGCACTTAGGCAACATCTCTCATCTGCCAGGCACTTTATGATGCACTGGGGATGTAGAGATGAATGATCACAGAGCCCCTATCCTTGAAAATCTGACAGTGAGAAGACAGGATGTTACAACCTAAATAGAGGTATTTACAAAGTATCATATCCAGCGTGGAACATAGCATGGAGTATGCATACCGCCCTCAGTGCTACCCCCGAGTTAATCAAGAAAACCAAATTCCTAGGCACATGCCTTTGACAAAATGATGTCCATGAAAACCTTCCAAGCTTGGTCTTCCCCAGCTGAGTTTCTTTTGGGAGGTGACTCTGCTGTCGTCACCCAAAGTTCTCAACATTTACCACCTACGCTCCAGAGGCACCCTTTGCCCAGAACACACCCTCTGCATGGGTCACACAGAGCAGTTATTTCATGAGGGAAACAAGTTTGTTAATTGTGTGAAGATTTTTGGGGGGGGGTGCTTTTCTAGGTGAAGGGGATTATAAATAGTGCCTTGCTTCCCTATGAATCAGCAAATGTAGAGAAAATGCAGATCAGATCCCATTCTCCTACTTAGCTAACTGTGATTTCTGACCAAGGCCAGCGGTCTTGTGCTCAGCATCTCTGGTCCATTAGCCCCAAAGGCACCTTTTAGTTCTACAGGGACCCTAAGTGCACAAACGTAGACTTACTAATTTCCCCGCTGGTCTACCTTTTGTAGACATGGCCAGGAACTGGTTTTTCTACTGTTCTTTCCTAACCTATGAGCCTTCCCAGCCTCCCTTATATAACCTTCTCCACCCCCTCTCCTATTGTCTAGTCATCGAGCTCTTAGGGATGCCCTGGCCTCCTGCTGGTGGCTCATCTCTATTTTTTTCCTTCTTGGTAAGGCCCTGATTCCAGAGCCTGACTGCCTGGGAATAGATCTCAGCTTCTCCACTTAATAGCTGTCGGATTCAAGTTACTCTTATTCCCTTCAGCTCAGTTACTGCTTCTGTAAAATGGAGATCCACCACCTCTCCTTCCAGAGTTACCATCATTGGCTTCCAATTTGCCAACTTGGACCACTGACTCCCTCTTAGCTCATCTCCTACTCTAATCATTTGCCATCCAGATTCATGGTTGGGGAACCACAAGTAGACCCATCACTCTATTTAATACTCATTCTGCATCTGAGTTTATGTCCCTTGTGAAAAGTCGAACTGTGTACTTATTTGTGTATTTTTTCTGTATAAATGTTACACTTCAGTGAGGTATTTACTTCAACTTTTTGCATTTATGTTAAATCTGTATAGCCAGACAGGGCTTACTTTCTCACCCTGCTCTTTTTCTCTTACTTTCTTTGATTCAAAAGGATTACACATGAATACAGTTATTTTAGAAAAAGAACATGAAATAGAACAGCAAGAGAATGAAAATTAAAACCCATCCATTATCATCCCCAGCACCCAAGAACAACCCCAGCTATTTGAGAAGGTGTGTATCATTTTTACAAGGAAAAAAATGTTAATACACTTTTCTAAACTTTTTCCTGTAACCTACCTCTGAATTTCAGTATATTATTTTTAAGTATATTTCAGTATATTATTATTTATTTTTAAAGGCTGTGTTATACTCCATTAAATAGGTATAGCGCAATTATTTAACAAAACCCTACAATAAGACATATTGATGGTCCCACTATTTAAGTGTTGCTCTGAACGGCTTCGGGGCTAAATCATTGCATTGCACTGGGGTATCATTCAAATTGCACTTCAATTATTCATGCCGTTCATTCCAGTTTAGATTTCTTGGTCTGTGCAGGCATTCTGAATTGCTTTATTATACACTACATCTTCCAGGCTCGCCTTCTGAAAGATTTGTATTTCACAGAAACAAATCATGAGCTTGATGCAGCCATTTTCAGACATACGATGGGAAGAAACAGAGGCACTTTGGGTCACACATCCCTTTGCTAGTGTGGGCAAGAACAGGGGGCATCACAGTCAAGACCCCCTGACTCGGTGGGGACCAAGGCTGCTCGGGAGCCCTGTTCTAGCACTGAGTGGCATTTGCATCCTGAGTGTTATTTGCAACGTTTCCGGGTGCTAATGACTACAAATTGCTAATGGCTGTGAAAAGCTAATTGTCGTGCAAGGTGTTTCTGCTCTCCCCCAAATGCCAGGAGAGCTCACAGCCACAGTTAAACAGAGATCTCATTAGCGTCTCCGACACAGTCCTCAAGGGGAGTCCTCCTCGCAGCCTGGCAAATAACCAAGCCTTCTCTGCAAATCCAGAGCTGCGAGGTTTTGTGCCTGGCCAGCAACAACCAAGGAGGCAAAAGATGTAGGAAATATTTCCCGTGAGAAAACAGGAAATGGGGTGGTACTACCACACTCCAGCAGCAAACCCCAGGAAATGCAAAGGACGTAGGCATGTCTCCCCAAAATAAGGATACGGTAGCTGGCTGCGCCACGCACCCTGCCGAGTGTCTCCTGGCTTCTTCTCTTTCCATTATCCCCACTTTACAGTGGAGCATGCTGAGGCTCAGAGAGTGAATAATTTCCCCCAAATCCTTTAGCAGATTACAAATCTGGGACATGCTTCTCAACCTTTTTACTCTAGAGGCCAGATTCTTTTTTTTTTTTTTTTTTGGATGATGTAATATAACTCTTTACTGGTAAAATCTCTCAAAGGACATTAAAGTCAGTAGCATTGTTTTTATATTCAAAGGACAGTACATTCAGTTACTTTAGGCAGAAAAAAAAGTGATAAACGGGTATAAAGCTTCAGATTCAAATGAAATTATCCAAACACAAAACCAAAAACCTTCACATCTCATATATTTTCATTGATTAAATACAATTTCTAAAATAATGGATGTAAACATACGTGGTCAACTAAAAAGTACAATACACACTTGAAGGATTACTTGCCTGTCCTATTTCTTAAAATCTCAGATGGATTTTAAGAAATGTATAGACATCCCAATTGCTCCAGGGAAGATGACACCTTTAGGGATTTTTTGAAAAGCAAAAATCAAATCTCCATCTTTAACCGTGGTACTTTTATGGCAGCTTCTCCAACTTCTTCTGATATATCTACTCCAAGAGGACATTTGGGTTCATAGCGGATGCCTTCTGTGTTGTGTAAAACGCCCACGCCAGCACGCAATCTTTCAATACCATTCCATGCAATCATAATGCCATTGTCAGTGCACAGTCTGGGAGGAGGACACAGCAAAGTGCACTTTGTTGCACTTGTTACAATTTCCAGAGCTTTTCGGATGTATAAGTTACTTGCAACGCCTCCAGATACAACCAGTACTGCATTACTTTGAGATAACAAGTGTCTCTGCTTGCAAAACAGAATGGCACCGTGAGTTCTTTTTGCAATGTGGCATGCTATGGTGTGCTGTACCGCAGCAGCAATGTGTGCAGCTGAAGACAGGATTTGCCCCTTCTGGATCCCTTCCTCTTTTTCCTTTTGCATTATTATCTTATCAGTAACATGCTGAAGTCCAGAGAAAGAAAAATCACAATTTTTAGCTCGTTGCATGGGAGGTTTGATATCAAAATGCAGTTTATTTCCTTGTTTGGCCAAGTGTTCTATAGCCTTCCCACCACTCATGGTGGAGCACTCTGGATGTTTTATCAAAGACAGTCTTCTTGCTACCTTGTCAAGCATGTCACCTGGTGCTATGTCCAAAGACTTTCCCAGAAGCAGAAAATCTGAAACTCCTCTAACTAATGCCAATAGACAATGACCTCCGGAAATCAAAAGAACTAAAAAGGGAAATTCTACTTTATTTAACAACCTAATAGTAAGTGCATGAGCCTCCATATGATGAATGGGAATGAAAGGTTTTTTTAACTGGTGTACTAGTTGTAAGCTAAATGATAAGCCTACTCCCAAGCTTAAAGCAAGTCCTGGTTTTACAGTAGTTGCAATTGCTGAGAGTTCACTTGGAGAGACTTTACTGGCAGAGACAGCTTCTTGCACTATTCGTTGAATATTTTCTCTGTGAAGTTGCTGAGCTACTGGAGGAACAATCCCACCTGTTTTTAAATGAACTTCAGTTTGGGAGTGTATTGCTTCTCCCAAAACATTTCCAGTTTCATCCACCACGGCAGCTGCTGTATCATCACAACTGGTTTCAATTCCCAATACTAGTTTATGAAGAAACAGTTTTCCAGGATAAAAATTAAAACTTCTTAAAAATTCATAAGGTTTCCTTCTTGATGGTTTAGAAAAAACTCCTGCTGTCTTATTCAGTATTAGCATACTTACTCTACAGATAACTCCTTCCTTGTGAACGACAGTGGCTAGTACTAGTTTCGTTCCCCTAGCAAAGACGGTCGACTGCGTTTTTACAAGAGCCGAGGCCAGATTCTTAACCACAGCCTAAGAGTACTTCTTGAAAACTAGTGGGCTAGCTTCAGACCATGCTGGGGCATGAGTGTTGCGTGTGCATTAAGAATTTGACCACCACATTTAATTCATCATATTCCGTGATCAATTATGAAAGGTGGTCTGGTTAAAACCAACAGCGAGCTCACATGGCTGATGAAGGTTTCTTCCCATAAGCGAAAGTGCAGTGTCTCCCTCTGTCTCCACTCAAGTCCTGTATGCTCCACTCTCCATTTTAAAAAAAAAAATCTCTTCTGTGGATTATTTCCCTATTATTATTATCTATTATTTCCCTGTCCTTTGACTTAAGTTTAACAATCTCATAAGGCAAACTTAGGCACAGGAATGCTTATTTGAATTTCATGGTGCTGCAGGGTTTGCAAACACTTTCTCTGTTTCTCAAGGGACCCAGTTATTCAGCTGGAAATCGGAGTCTCGGCACCACCTGCCCCCAGCCCCAAATTTTAAAAATGTATCCTCCAACAATCCACCTTCCTTTGTCCGGGCCCTACAGTGATTTGCTTCTTTGTGCTGGTAATTTCACATGCAAAACTGTGCTTTCAATTCTGTACAACCAAAAAAAAAAAAAAAAAAAATCAAACCACCAGCAATAGAAATGGAAAGAGAAGCCCTGTCTTGAATTGTCACGATGACGGTTTGTTTGAGTTCATTCTACATATTCTTTGAGAAAATAAAGAGGAGAGGCCGGCGGATTTGCTAACACAGGACGGAGGGAAGAATGTTGAAAAGCCAAACACTACCATTTACAGTTGTGGGAGAAGTTGCCCAGGCAACGCAGACACTCGAGGGATGAAGGACTGCCCGCACCTGCCATCCCGTGTTTTCCCTGCCTCGTTAGCTTCACAGAGATAGCGCTTGCCTTCATTGTCTGGACTGTGAACAGGGCCAAGAACTGGCATTCAAGTTAATGTTAAACTCGCACCCAACTCGATTCAATAATAAGATTCCGTGTGAGCCAAAAAAAATTAACAACAGCAGAGGAGTCCATAGGATTTCCACTGCCTGGGGAGGGGACATGTGCTGACTGTAGCTGATAAACCATCTTGGACCCAATTCTTCCAGGCAGATGAGGCAGTGCAGGAAGAGAACTGGATGCCAATACGTGACCTGCAAGTTCAGAGAGCAGGTGAGGGGAAGGCTGCTGAAGGGGTAAGAAAACGAGCCCACGAGAGAGTCAGTGTCTACCCCCACCCTCCAGCCTCCGGTGCTATCAGGCCTCAGTCCAGGATGGGGACTTCAGCTCAGGTGGAGTACCAAACAGCCCCTACCATTTCTGTGGGTCACCGTGGGCTGGAGCAGAATGAGAACAGCCTCTCTCCCTCGTGGCTGAGCTGACAATTGCCAGCAGCTCTCACCACCTGGCGGGAAACCTGGGACCATCACGTGAGAAGGTCCCCTCTCTTGCTCGTATTTGGGAAATAGAAGGCCTTCCTCCAGCAACTGAGCTCACAGCCAGGGTAGGAGCGACAGTTTGCAAATGACTTCGGTAAGCTGGATACATCTTGTGGTTTCTTTTTGCTGGAGTTTGGGACCAGGCCAAATGCATTCATGATTCCCAGAAGAAAACCCTCTCCCCACTGTGTAAATGAGAACCATTTAGGAGAGAACTCAAAGCAATCTCCTCCCTGAAATCTGTTCTCCTGAATTTCTTTTCTTCATGAAAGGCTGTACACCCCATCGTTTGCCTAAGCCAGCAACTCAGCAAACGTCTCTAACACCTCCCTTCCCTCACCACAGCTTTCAATTTCCCAGGCCAGCAGTTTCTACCTCCTTAATATTCCTCACATTTCTCTTCTCCATTCTCACGTGTCCTGCCCTGGTTCAGGATGCCATATTTTTCTTGCTTGAGTTACTCACTGCAGTAGTGACCCAAAGGTCTCCCTGCTCCCCAGCCTTGTCACCCTCTAAGCCATAGCATTATTCTTATCATTTGTAATTCAAATCTGATCATGTCACTTCTCTGCTAAAAATATCTGGCAATTCTCCCAAGCTCTGAGGCTAAAATTCAAACTCTTTAGCTGAGTACAGGCAACATAGAGACAGGACGCATTTTAGCTGCCTTGTTCAGAAGGGTGGAGAGGGCCCTGAGCACACTGAGATCTACCACTGCCCTCTGCGGAGTTAGGATGAGGGTTACTGGGTACTAGCTAAGTGGTTAGACAGAAGGATTGGGTTCTAGAGGGCCAAAGCACAGAGCGAGAAGCTTCCTCCCTAGCAGGGTTGCCCAATCCAATATAAGATGACCAGGTAAATTTGAATTTCAGGAACACAATGAATAATTTTTTTTTTTTTTTTAGTTTACATATGTTCTATGCTGTATTTGTTTATCTGTGGTTCAAATTCAACTGGACATCCTGTGTTTTTATTTGCTAAATCTGGCGACACTGCCGCACAGCACTGGGTGTGGGCTGGAAGATAAGGGTGAGCAGAATCTGTCAAGACAGTCAGGAGGAGAAACCTAAAGGTCAGCGTAAGGGAAAGGGGTCAGTTAAATATCGCACGCTACACATTACAAGTCTATCTCAACTCTATCCAGGAATATCTTCCCCAATGATAGAGAATAAGGAAGAAAGTCCCTAAGTTATGAAGGAAAAGAGAACAGGGCATGACAGAAGACAGATTTTTGAAAAATTGGAGGAGACAGACAGTAAAAGTAAGTGGTAACTGACTGCGTCATGCAGAAAGCCTGCGGGGAGAGAAACTGATTAAAGCTGCAAAAATCTGGAAAAGCCAGGAATTAGGGGTGCCAGGGGGGCCTCAGAAGACATTGGGGTTGGGAGTGTTCATTCTGCCTAGAAGCAAGTAGCACCCAGACTCCCTCCCCCCAGCTCAGAGTTGCTGGCTGACTTGCTAGAAGACAGGAACATGAGAGGCTCTGAACTTGAACACATCAGGCACAGAAAATAGTGGAAGACCTGCTGAAAACACGGTACTTAACTAGTCCACACAGCGAACGCAAAGATTCCCAATCCCTTCCTTCAGGGATTTCAGATTGCAGATACCCTAACTTAAAGGAAAACATCCACTGATATTTGCAAACAACTCACCAGGAAAATTACTGGATCCCTAACTGAATATTTACCATACTACATGCCATCAGGCAGCCCCGCCTGTGTGGACGGATCACCCATTCATCTTCCTCCCACCATATTCTTAACCACGCATGGACCACCAGGGGCGACTGATATTTAGGGAAACTTCCTAAAATGGGAGCGTGACCCCCAAATAAACCAAAGAAAGGGCCTACAAGAAACTTTTGGGAAAATGTTAACTAGTCTTCTCAGAGAAATAAGAGGACGTTCTGAATGAAGGAAACAATGACATGCTATTTAGGAAAAGAAAACATTCAAAGCAAGAGACAACAAATACAAAATTAAAAATGGGGTAACAGAAAGAAAATCTTCAGGAAAACAATCGAAGACAAAGTTAAAGAAACCTCAGAAAGTAGAACAAATGACCAAAGAGACAGATAACGGGAAGGGAGGAGCGGCAAACTAGAGAAGCAGTTCAGATCTGACATCTACCCGATAGAAATTCCAGAAAGAGAGAAGGGAGAAGATGGAAGGGAAAATTATTTAAAAGACAAAACAAAACAAGAACATGAATATCAATTTTGAAAGCGCCCATCAGGTGTTTGAAAAAAATCAAAATTTTAATTTAATTGAATTAAAGTCATGACTTAAAAACAAGAAAACATATCAAGGTACATTATCACTGGTACCAGGGGCAAAGAGAGGATCCTAAAAACTAGGGCCAGTGGGGGAGGTAAAGGTCACATATAAAAATATCAAAGATCAGAAATCGCATCTAACTCTACCCACGCTGAAAGCTAGAAATGACCAGGCAACGCCATAAGAACTCTGAAGGAAACTTACTTCCCATCAAGAACTCTTACCTCCTGCCCAAGTATCAGTGAAATCATCTGCCAAGGGTAGAATAAAGATATGTTCAGATACCCAAGGTTGCAATGGAATCAGGTCAAGCATGCCAAAAGGGGGCACCACAAACTACAACAACCAGCCAGTGTTGAGGGCTCCTCACTTGGACCTAAGAATTGTGGGGTGTGTAGCTGTACTGGGCTGCCTTAGGCTCTAGACCACTCTACTCCTTTGCTCACACTTCAGCCCCCTAGTCCCATCCAACCCCGTCATTCCCTGGTGAGCATAGGAATAAACATCGCCTGACTCTTGAAATCATGACTGATCCTTGTGAAAGAATTGGCTTTCCGTCTTCTGCATCCCCACCCTTTACGTGCTGGCCCTTCCCATTTAGATGTCAGCTCTCAGGGTGTATTCGTTCCAAAAGAACCAAGCAGTGGTTCATAGTAAACTCCCAAGTAAATATTTGATGGATGAATGGATGAATGAATGGATATGTGGCTTTCAGGGAAATATAGCATTACCCAATTAGTAGACCCAGGGAAGAGAGACTCTTCATATTGAATCTGGGTGCTTAAAAAAAAAACAAAAAAGTTTCATCCTGAATCTCCCCCACGGGATAAAATGCCTACATTTTCCATTCATTCATTCAATAAATATTCACTGAGTACAGTGTCTTACGCTTTACTACAGCTTATATGGAGTATTAGATAACGTCTTCTGTTATTTGATGCCTTTTAGTTAAGGAGAAAAGAGCGTATGTGTATCAGATCAATAATAAAAGAATTTACAGAACAACATAAGAGATGTCACAATGCAGGATAAAAATCAAGTATCAAAGTAGAATTCCAAACAGTGAGTATGGAATAGGGAGACCACCGTAGGCTGGAATCATTAAAGAAGGCTTCACGGAGGAGGTGTGATGTAAGCTGATCTCTGACAGTTAAGATTCAGGATTAGTAGAGAGAAGTGGAGCATTCCAACTGGAGAATAAAGGGGACAAAACTGAGCGGAGTAAAGAGATTGTGTCAGCATCACGGGTGGGGAAACTGGACTAGTGTAGACACGCTAA